GTAATTAACACGTGTGTCTCGTTTATTTAGTCTGTACCCCAACAGACATGTAAAAATGACAATTGTTGGTTTTAAGGTAAGTTCTGTGCTCCAAGTTACCCGCGAGACTATACCTTTCTTTCATCAAAAATAGTTGGTAATAACATAAATAGTAATCAGTAGCTTCATATGACTCCCCATAAAACTACAAATTTTTGTTTTTTACATTTCTGTTTGTGTACAGATTAAACACAAAGCACACAGAACCAAGCTAGCTGTTTCCCATCTGCCTCCAGTCTTAAACTAAGCTAATTGCATCTTGGATCCAACTCTGTACTTAACTGGCAGACTTGATAGTGGTATCAATCTTGTCATCTAATTTAAATAATCTTATTTTCCAAAATGTCAAACCTTTTCTTTAATTTTGACTGCATTTTTAAAAATCTGTCTCTTGCGAAGTACAATAATATATTGCTGGTGTGACCTTTACTTGTGTTACTTTTCCAAGCCATCGTTCAACACTTATAATACTTAATAATAAAATATATAGATAACATAAAAATATATTACACAGAAATATAGTGATGGAAGAGGAGGGGTGACCTGCTTTGTTTGACACACAGCGTTCACCCACTGTCTGCTCTCTCTCTCTGTATTACACACATGTACAGTTGATTGCTAACAACACATTCTACTTGACAGCGTCAGAACAGTTTCTCTCACACAGAAAAGGAATAGGCATTACGTGTGCACGCGTGCGTGTGTATATAAGCATCTTTGTATGCGTGCAAGCATGCGTGCGTGGGTCTCTTTGTGTGTTTAAAACCTAATTTGTCTATGGGCAAACCCATCTCTGAGGGCTGTATTAGAAGCATTTTGCACTGTAATGGGCTGACATGTTAATCTGAAACTCTATTCTCTGTAGCTAATGAACATATCCATCCTAGTCTCTGTATGTGTGTCGGTGAGTGTGTGTGGCAACACTGTCCCATTTTTATGATGCTGTTGAGGCAAACATAAATTTGAGCACTGATGCCAAGGTGATGTGGGCTTATGTATTTTTAACAATGACGACATTGAAGAGCACTGAATTTTAAATCTCTCCCATAGTTGTGAACATGTTTGTGTGTATATGTGGAGGAGAGACATAGATCTGACAGTTCTGGGTCAGACCAGTCCCATGGAGTCAGGAAACCTACAGAGGACACAATTACGGACACACACACACACACACAGACACACACACACACACACACACACAGACACACACACACACACACACACACACAGACACACACACACACACAGACACACACACACACACACACACACACACACACACACACACACACACACACACACACACACGCAAGCACACAAACACCTTGTAGGTGAAGATGACAAATGTTTGTTAGGCGGAAATAGAAGAGCATTTGGATTTGGGCAAAAAAAACACTCAGTCTCAGCACATCAGTCTACAACTTAGGAGCAGAGAGAACTGAACTCACGCAGAGAGAAAAATACATCTCAAATAGCCTACAACACACATGTAGACACTGCTGACTGGAGGACACATGGAAGGCGGCAAGAGCAAGCAGGGAGCTGTGATATTGTATTGTTGTCGAGGGCATAAACACACAAACTATGGTCATGCTGAGCCCAGCTGCGAATCAGCCTAATTACCACTGACACATATAGGATGGTGGGGTCAGCAGCATTGCCAACTGCTACAACATGGCTCTAATGTATTCATCACACCCAAACTTGATATATCAGATACAGTATGTTATTTTTTCCACACTTCCCCCTCATCATTGCAAGATGCACATTGCAATTTCCACTGACGCATCAGGGCCAGACTATCGCCGTTCTTCACTTGGGCAGAGAAAAACTGATTTGAAATCAAGTCCAACAGAGATTTTCCTCATTTCTCAGTATTGCTTCACTACTGTGCTGTCCGTTGCATCATCTCTCTGCTCTGTGGCTGGTGTGGAAATGACCACTACTGTGTTTTGCATTGCGTGTGCATGAGTGTGTGGAGCTGTTTTTTTTGAAAGAGAGAAGGAGACAGCTTATGCATGTGCGCGTCAGTCATAATGTCTGCATAATGTCCCGGAGGTCTATGACTATATAACTAATACTTGTATTATTGCTAGAATAAAACATTACGCAGAACCAAGCAGGATTAGAAAACAAGCATGACAGCCTCTTCCCACTCTTTCCTCTCTCTCTGACACACACACACACACACACACACACACACACACACACACACACACACACAGACACGTATGCATGTGTGGAAGCAAGCAGCCCAGGGCCATGTACACTAGCAAGCGGCCATGTTTCTTTCACAAAAGGCTGCAGTGAGGCTGTCATCGTCAGCATGGTTTGCTCTCACACACACTCAGTGACACACCACACCGCACTGTGACATCATGCCACGCATTTAGACCAGAGGGTCAGAGGGTAACACGGCTTTATGTGCTGAGGCTTTGTTGTCGTCATGCTCGGTGACTGCAGCAGCCCTTATTCAGCTATCTTTCCCTCAAATACACACAGTAACACTTAGGCTACAAACATCCAAGATAGCCCACTTTACCATCAGCTCCTTTCACATTACCCCAGACAGGCAGGTCTCCGCAAACAGAGGTGAGGCTGTTTCAATCTAGATAATGATAGTGGGTCTTATCCTCGCGTCTGACCAGCAGGGCTCTCAACATCTGGCCTGGACCTCTACAGTCAGTCAACATTCTTCTACAATCCACCTTTCAACCTACAAACTCCATCACCTTCCTACCTTCTATACCTACTAGACATTTAGAGCCTCCTTTTTGCCACACTGCCACTAAAGAGCTTTTGAAGTGGTATGTGCCTATGTATCCCCATCATTGTCACAGTTATTCTCATGGTGATATCCCGGGACATGTAGGAGTGTTAGAGGGATTCCCCAGCAGAGGTGTATACATAAATCCAAGCTAAAGAAATACTGACCCGGCCTCCTCCAAATTAAACAATCATATTCAACTTTTAGAGGTCTAGCTCTAGCAGTGGGACAGCATAATTTGTGGCCATGTTTCAACCCAGCTGCACCGTTATTCAGAAATAAACCAAGTAATAATGTTATTTAGTTTGCTCTAAAATCATCTAAAATCAGTGACCGTCAGTACCATTATGGCCGCATTAAACTGCGAGTTGGCCCTGGGGCAAAATAAGGTGCTCAGCCCAACCCCTATTAGCCCCACTGTTTCTCCTGCAATGTGACAGCTGTCCAATTTAACACCATCTTGTAGCTTGCCAGTGCTTCAAATGGGTCAGTACTGGCACTTCTATATTTTACACTTTGTGTACCGGGGCGTTTTCTTGTGCACCTGCACTTCTCACAATCTGCAGATCAGTAGCAGAGCCGGCCGGGCCTAGAAAATTGCACAGAGCCCTGCATATTACGCAAAGGCCCCGCCCTGCTCTTCTTGTCAAAGCAAAGCAGGTGTCAATGTTTTCAACTTCAAAGAGGATGAAGCAGAACTATCCTTTCAGTTACAAAAGGAGAAGAAAAAGCCCACCATGGGCCAGTCCCAATCTACACCCTAAAGCCTAAACCCTGAACCCTCAGAGACTTAGCTGAAGTCATCTGGTATACATACATATATATATATATAAGCCTGGAATACATTCAAATCAAACACTTGGTTCCTCCTCCATATGTGTGTGTATATATATATCACTTAACTGATTCATGTTACCTTGACAACGCCAAAACAATTATGGGTCTGGGACTTCTTAGTTGACATGTTTTACTTACTTCACGGCCGAGGAGGAACCAAGTGTTTGATTTAAATGTATTCCAGGCTTTTGCTGAGGAAATTGATTATTTGAAAATCACCCCTGGACAAGAAGTAATTTTCAAATGATAAATGTTCTTGTTTTGTTATCAAAACAGCATTGTGCACTTACATGTAAACGTGTAAACGTAGTTGCTCCTTCCATGTTACCTTTTTTTTTAACTTAAGGTTAAACGTCACATTACTATGAACTGTGGGCAAAGTCTGCAGAGATGCGGTTTTACAGAAAGTGTGCAATTAGGGCTCAATTATGTCTGCAAGAGAGCCCTCGTGCACTTGACAATTTAACAGTGGGACAGCCCTAAGCCCCACGGACTCACCGGGATCACGCCTCAAAGTCCATGAGTGTGGAGATTGGAATTTAGCCCATGAAAGTGAATTGGGGAAACAGCAAACAGGTATCTCCTCTCCATGTTTGATGTCAGCAATTGACAGTAAGTTTAAGCTGATGTGCTAGCTTGCAGTGCGTCTGTTTTGACAAGACAACAATAAGATAGTTTCTCAGTCAAGGTTTACAACTCTGGACTAATGCAAGATGGAAAGCAATGGACAGACAATTTAAAATGTTGCTTAGCTGGGCGTAAGCCTACTGAGCAATATACATGCACATTTTTCAGTAAATAATAACCATCAAGTATTCAGCCAAGCCTAAATAGTAGTATTGTATATTTGAAAATGTAAAAGTATAAGTAAATCTTGAATGGGCCTGATGTAGCTGATAAAATTAATAACAGTAGGCTATAGAAGGTGCTGAATCATCAAGCACAGACTTGGTTAACATTGACCTTAATATTGTTTGTTTATACCTCATTCTGTAGCCTATAGGTCTATTTTTTCTTAGACCAACAGAACTGTTTTAAAGGAGGACTGCAGTGGGGACACTGTGTGAGGTTCAAGTCTAAGTGAATGAAATAGTAATTAAAATGGTTAAATAAATGTAGCCTATGTTGTGAACATCAGTAATGCCATCTAGTATTTTTTATTCACTGTAGAATGTAATAGCCAAGGCCAGCGTGTGAATAACGGGAGTACTGTCACTTTTCTTTCCCCCCACTTCAAGCACTTTACCGTACAACAAATCATGCACATAAAGGTTGCTGCTCCGTTGGACAAACCCTCATCCATCTCAGCCGACACCACAGCCCGACCCTCCCCCTCCAGAGGCCGACTGCTCCTCACCTGAGGCAGCGCGGCGTTGATCTGCCGCTGGAGTACGTCCCTCTCGTGCAGCGCCCCCTGCAGTTTAGTCTGAGACTGAATGAGGGTCTCCTGAGTCTCCCTGAGGGACTCCAGCAGTTTGTCCCTCTCGTCCAGCATGTTGACCATCAGCTGCTCGAAGTTGGCCTCCTGGTCTGAGCCGTTCGGGACGCCACCGGTGCCTCTGGGAGGACCACCCGTGTCTCCCTCGCTGATGGTCGGCATCACCTCGCACATCATCTTCCCTGCTCTGTGGTCTGGGCAACGCTATAGGACAGTGTCGCTGTCGGGATTAAGAAGGTGGATATGTGGGTTACAAGCCTGATAAACAGACTTATAATAACTGATGAGAGGGCCTATTAACGCCCCGCAGCAGCGCACAGCCTAGTATGCAATCGTAGACCCGCGCCTTCTTCCCATTGCATTATATTTCCCGTGCATCAGACGTGCATCCTTAAGCTTTATCTCGCCTTACCTAATCAGAGAGATTGAATTGATGAGATGACGGTTGACCTTTCGTCCATATTAACCGGCGTTTTTTCACCCCGTGAGCAGATCCGCCTTGCCCGGCGCGCCATGCACTCACATGTAGAAATCCCGGCGTGATATGATTGACAGCTCAGAGATAGACTGATGCGTTTGGAGGGGTGGTGTCCGCGAGCACGACGGAGATCATAGTACATTGGCAGGAAAAAAAATATATATATATAAAACAAAACAGGAAAATATCGTTTGATCTGCGTCCTTAGTCTTGGGGACAGTGAGAGCGAGTCTTATCTGCATCCGCCTTCTCCGCTTCCATCTCTCCACACCGCCACCGAACCGACGCTCACTCCTCCTCCCACACACACAGTCCCTCAGTCACACACACACACACACACACACACACACACACGCACACACTCAGGGGAATCTGCAGTTGTCACTAACAGGCTACAGCCCTGGAAATAAGGGACCAACTCCCAGCGTTCAGCCTATAGCTAAAGCGTTTTGCATCACATGTGCGTGCAAAACAGAGGACTGGAATCAGCCGGACGGTCGTTAGTGTCAAAGCATGATCTCTAAACTCTACACTAGTATCATGTTTCTACAGTTAGCCCAGCCGTGCCCCTTGATTGGTAAAGTGTAGCCTAATTAACTTTTCACATCAGCACCAAGCACGTTCACGACCTGACGACTCCCGAGACATGGTGCGCGTTCCAGCGGCATCAGCTTAGCCAAGGCACAGAGGCAGGTTGTGCACCAAGAGTGCGCAGCGCACCCTGCAGGATCTGTCAGGAACCTTAATATTATAAACATGAGCAATAATAGAAAGAAAAGGCAGGGGAAACAGGCAAATCTGACTCTCACTAAATTGTTTGGTGTCAGTCCAGACCACAACACCAGGGCCTTGAAGTATATCAACCATGTTGCAACACACTGATTGACACTGATAACACTCATCATTGTATTGTATGTGTTGGTTCTAGTACTGTGTGTCAAATCATTGTGTGCGAAAGGAAGAAAGCTTTTTTTGGCATTTGACTCAAAATGATGGATGAGTGCAGGGGGCTCTCACATTGGTATGTTTTTTTTAGTATTTCAAATGCCCTTTACTGATTTTTTTAGTTAGACATTGTGGTTTTGACAGTACAGCTAAAACGATGGACTATCCAGAGCACAGCTCCCCTTGTAGGAAAAAAATATTTTGTTTGTGTAAGATGGCATATTTGAAAAGTTTCCTGAATTGTACATTAATTTAACACAAATATAATAAATGAAATTAATCATCATCAGCATGTTGCTGTGGCAGTACTGGATAGGCAACAATACATTTGGTAATAGGAAAAATAAAACAGCAGCAAATATGTTATTTTCCATTTCTAATTTATAACTTAGATGGTTGTTGGATGTCCAGTCATTTGTACTGTAAAAATAATTCTTACATTAGTCACCGTTGTTATCTCTGTTTTGAAAGTTAACTGTGAACTGTGTTAGTCTTTAAATCAATAGTGAAATTGTGACTGAGTGGCAATTTCAGTTCTGTGTAAAGAGAAAATGACAATTCCCTACATTGGAAAGTGATGACTAAAGAGCACACTTATGACTGACCACGCCATGATGAGATTTGTTTTTAAATGAGACCGTGCAGATTAATTTCTGCAGGGGGTTTGTCTGCTGTAAGAGTAAGAGTAAAAGTGGAAGTCATTAAGAGTAATTTCGTACATTAAAATCAATTAAGAAATAAATTAAGATAAGATTTACTTAGGGCAAATGAAATTAATCCAGAGATTGTTTGACATAGTGTTTATATTCTGTAGTTTATTTTCACCATCCACTTATCATTTCCTGATTATATAATAGGTCTAAACCCACGTTCAATCAATCGTTTTTTTCGTTTCAGTATTTGATTTACTTTTATTACCTTTGTGATGTTAATACAAGTCAGTTCAGACATAGACATCGAGCACAGTCTCATCTCAGGGAGTCAAACCGAAGCTTTGATAGAAGCTTTGATAAGCCCGATAAAGTGTCGGTATTTAAAGCACAAGGTACCCTTCAGCATCTGCAGGAAAACCCCGGGCTTTCAAGTAAGTCCAATGTAACCCATCGGCCGTCACATAATGTAGGCTACTTATTTCAACCCAAAACACAATCTTTTCCTAAAACTAACCAAGTGGTTTTGGTGCCTAAACCTAATCAAAACCATGATCTTTTCCTAAACCTTTTTCATACGGATGCCGAAGGGTACCTTGGGTGTCAAATATGGAGGCTTTGCCAGGCTTTCTCAAAGCGTCAGCATTTGACGCCCTTACATGAGAACGTGTTGAGTCATCATTCATTCACATCTTTGAGTTTAAAAGCCTCAATTATATTTCACATAAGGTTAGATTCTGGACTTGACTCAGTCGTTGCATCTGACCTTCACTTAAGGTTTTCTGAACTTCAGTCAGTGGTGGAAGAAGTACTTAGATCTTTTACTCAAGTAAATGTACCACAATACCACAGAGTAGGAGTACAAAAAGAAATACTCAAGTAAAGTACACACGCCTCAAAATTGTACTTAATTGAATTGAGTAAATGTACTTAGCTACTTTCCACCACTGACTAAGTATTTTTGCTTTGACTTAAGTGCTTTAACCTGAATTCAGTATTTACAACTTTTTGACAGCAATAAACAGCAAAACCAGGTTTAAAACACTTTGACATTTTGAATGTCTTGTTAGCTGGCATGTTTCTGAACTGTGGAGGGAAACAGCAATACCCAGAGAAGATTTGCACTGACAAGAACAGGACAAACTTGACACAGAAGGATGGCAAGGTTTTAAAATGTATGGTTCAATGCTAATGTGAATTGCAATAATATATTTTCCTTTAATAACAAAGGATGTTTGGCAGTTAGGTGAAGGGGTAAACTTGTTTTGTGTACAGATTGGAGGTTAACAATCAACAGGAGGTCAACAGTTTTAGGTCAATTATAAGTCAAATTGCTGAAGGGCTGTCAGCAAGTGAGATTTGACTTGAGGCAGTTGCAGGTTGGATGAGTGACTGACAATGAGAATAGATCTCGTTATTGATACAAAACATCTTGATATGGGGAAACAATTGCATTATCTGGAGAAAACCATAGACAATTGATTTTCTTCAAGGTGAAATCAATATTCTGTGTTACATTAGTGGGAGAGCTGTGAAAGTGAGTGGTCACAATATATTAGACAAGATTGGAGCCACGTACCTGTGATGCAGACAGTAAAGGGCTTGATGAAAGCTCTGGACACAAAAATAGAAGAAGATGATTTCTTTTGACACCTCCTCTGACCCATCTCTAAAGCTGGAGAAAGAAAAGACAATCACTGTGCTGACCTCTTAATTGTCAGGAAGTTATTCTCATGGCCAGAGGTTGAAGCATCACCTCAGACTTGTTGGTCTTCTTTAAACTGCAGCAGAGATTTCTCCAAATCTAATTTTGCTGTACTTTCATGCCCTGGGAGATGTCGCTCTCTGCAGTTCAGTTTTCAAGGTCTTGACAACAATGTTGTCAACAGCCATTCTGGGATGCTGTGGTGGCCTGCAGCACTTTTTACATACTTACATAGGTCACTGAACACAACACTGTGGATCTTTTTAGCATTATGAATCTTGGGTCTGAAAATACTGTCAGTTATAATAATTTGTGCCAATGTCTTCCCTCCCTGACCGGCCGCTTCTACCTGGCTCAGTGATGTCAGGGCAGCTTTAATGGTGTGTGCATTAGCCACGTTATGAGAGGCACAGTGACAATATGCACTGTCTGTCACTTTCAGACATTTTTATTGAGTGAGATGTGAATGGGCAGATAGTATAAGTAACACAAGAACCATCGCATGGCTCTTCAGTGAAACCAGATGGGAAGTCGGCTTAATGTGCACACAAAAATGTTATACATTTTATTTTATTTTATTTTATTTTTTCTTTTAAACCTGTCCTGCCCAGCAGCCTGGTATAGAGTATGATGACCTGGATAACCACATTGTGCCAGACAGATTTTACTTTAACTTTTAAGAGAGTATTAATATACTCCTTTGTCTGTTTTATTATTTATTTAATTATGTATTGATTTGTCACCAGGACAGACAGGGAGGCAGACACGGGGATAGGGGGGCACAAACAGGCAGCACAGAGAAAGAACAAGACCTGCAAGAGAAGGGGGATGGAAGGTGGGGACAACAGGGAAAAGCAGAGGGAAACACCAATTGCAGAAAGCAACGAAACCTGCAATAGAACAGAGAGGGGGGCTTGGGGAGGAGAAAAACAACAACCAACAAACAATAAAAATAATAATAATAGTGAAAGACAACCAGCCGAACAGCAGCAATAAACAGCTGACATAGTATGACAACTAAGAGAAAAATTAAAACAAGAAACAGTCCAGCACACTAAATAAGCAACACAGCACAGCCACGAGAGCTGGAATAATAACAATTAATTTAAATAAGTAAATGAAAGAAAAGCATCAGGAATAATTCTACCAGGGACAACCTACATTTGTTTGTGTCTATGTGTGAGACTGTGTGTGTCTGTGTGCGTGTGGGTGTACATGTGTGTGCGCATAAGCCTGTTAAAGAATGTAGTTGTTAGTGAGAGTGGGACGCCACGACTGTGCCACACCTACCCCAGCAACAGGCAGGCAAGAACCTCAGTAGCCAATAGGGGTGGGAGAAAGAAAATTAAAAAAACAAAAAAAACAAAGACTCCCAGATGCACCGCGATGCAAACGCGGAAGACCCCGACCCAAATGCCAGTTGACGTTAACGTAATGCCGATGGAACGCAAGAAGCGTAACCCGCGGAAGAGCAGTGCCCGGACCGACTGCGGCCCGCACACAACATAGACCAGTGTCCCCCCACCACCCAGCACCCCACCGCCGCGCAACGAACAACCAAAACGCCCAAATGCCACGCAATCATCAACACCAATGCACAAGTGACGAGCCCAATGCGAGCACGGCGACACCCAATGCCCAGCAGCCCCGTGCGAATCCCACGTGTGAGGTCGGGCAAACGAGAGAGAGCAAGCGGAATAACACGACAGCGAAAGCCGGCGGAGAGAAACACCAGCAGCAAGTCCCAGTCCGGCAGCAAACGCGCCGCGCAGGTCACCGTGCACCCGCCAATAAAAGTCTGCCGTCCCCCCAACCGCCGGAAAAAAACTAAGGCCGCTGGTGCCAGCCGACATCCCCCATGTCCAGCACGCCCCCCGGCCGCCGTGCAACACCAGCCAAACCAGCAACGAGGCAAAATCAACCAGCTCAGCTGCATGCCACCACCAACCCACCGACCCGTCAAGCGCCGAGAACTCCAGGCCCAGAACAAACCGGAGCACAGCCCTGCCCCGCACCCACACTGCACATCCCGAAAACTAACTATATACCTCAGTATCCAGAGGGGTCCAACAACTGGCCGACAGAGAAATGGGGAAGCATGGATCCGAGGCCAACGAAGCAAAACAGGGACGCAAACTGGTCCCTCCAAGCCAACGAGGAAATGCCTCCCCCAGACTCCAATGCACAAACTAAACGCCCAGCAGCCATTCAGAGACCCTGCCCAGGGAAAAAGCACAATACATCAAGATGCATCGACAATCGCCCTACAATCCCACCGCAGCCCACCAAACCGCAACCGGATCAGGATCAACCCGCGCAGCACCCAGAGACCCCCACCCCCAGAAACCAGGGCACCCCGCGACCCCAGACCGCATGTCCCGGGGGAAGCTGTACCCCGCCCCAAGGAAGAACAGCAGAAAGCCGTGCCGGGAAGCTCCCCGCCGCCAGGGAGCGATAACGCAGGAGAACCAGGCCAACGGTCCCCCAGCCCAGCCAGAGGCATCCCTCCCCAGAGTGCAGGCAGTGCCAGCAGCCCCCGAGGCCGATCTCATCCCCGGACGGGGGCCCAGCCCCCCCAGTCAAGCACCCCCAAGGACGAGCACTAAAACCTACCCCAACAACACCGGCCATGCGCCCCAGAGACTCCCGAATGCCACCACTGTGAGAGAGCAGGCAGGGGGAAGCAGCGGGGGGAAGGGGGAAGCAGCCCCACCCCTGCTGAAGAGGGCCCAGGCGAGGAAAGGAGACAACAGGCCCCCAGGCCCAGGGACACACCACCCGCCCAGAAATGAGCAAAAGCCACGAGCCCGAGTCCCCAGATCCCTAGATCAAGAGCGGGCCCCCACGCCAGGGGAGCCCCGACCCCCCCAGCCCATCAGGCAAGGCCGCCACCAACCCCACAGCACCCCCGACGCCCGGGGCTCCAGGGGCAGGACACGAGGCCAATGAGAATCTCCCCCACTCCATCAACCCCTCTGCCTGCCTCTGTAAATGTATTGTTTTGTGTTGGATGCATGTCATGGATTGTGAAGTGTTGTATGGTGGAGTAAAGATACGGTGTGTGGTAACTAAAGTGCAGTTAAAATTGGAGGGTAGTTGTGACACAGGCACCCCACAACTGTCAGGTAGCCAGACAGTGCAGCCCCAAAGTCCAACAATCCCACGTCCTCGCCGGGGCCCCTCCGGCAGCCCCACTGCCACCCTCCACCTCACCGTTCTCACACAATCAGGAGCACTCCGAGCACCACCAGGCCATCAGAGCTGGCACAACAGCAATCACCCCGCGACATCAGCAACAGCCCCTCAGCCCTAGGGAATCTGCAGATGCACCCAGCCCCTAGGACTCAACACGACCACAATCCAAATGTTATACATTTTAAACATCATAATGGCAATGAGCACCACGGATAGTGAACTGCAGTCTCATGTCAAAGGCATTTGAGACAAAGACACATTTCCAGAGTTTGCCAAAATAATTGTTTTCAAATTTTTGGCATAAAAAACAATATTAAATTAATAAAGCACTGACAGCAATACACAATATTAAGAGTGACTTGAAAAATAAAAATAATTTCTAATAGGCATTGGTATTCATGAAAAATTCTGGAAAGTTGTGTTACTGTTCTTCCAAAAAGTAGACAAGTAAAAACAACAACAACCTACATCACTCAACTTAACTAACTTAATTATGCAGGTATTTTAATACAAGTCTTAATTGGCTGATAAAGTAATGGAGCAGACGCATCTTCAACACTTCTTTTTTCTTTTTTTTTTAGTTCAAAAACTGCCTCAATACAACATACAGACAAACGGTATGAGTACAGAGCGGAGAACTTACCATGGGAATAAAAACACAGCAAGGAAAATATAAGGTTTACATAAAAAGAAACAGACTAACACAAAATGCTAACAGAACAGACTAAAACAAAATGAAAGGAGCAGTGGTTATAAATCTACAAATATGCATGGTACATAAATTCTCCGTTTTGATAGCTTTCTTGTTTTGGGATGAGTTTATCATTCCTATATATAGTTTAATTTCTTTCTTGAGTAAGGTAAATGTTGGTTTGGCATTAGTAAATTTACATTTGTGGATATAATATTTAGTAAAATTTATTATAAGGTTAATCAAAAAGTATTTGTCTTTAAGCTTACATTCAACATTCACAAAACCAAAAATTACATTTTTAAACAGTAGTTCAAAATCACTGTAAAGATTAACAATCACAAATCTACATACATCTTTCCAAAGTTTCTTGGTGTAAGTACAATGCCAGAATAAATGGGCTATTGTTTCTACATGAAGATCACAGAAGGAGCACATAATGTCAATATCTTTTTACAGATTTTACAGGGTAGAAGAGATGCAAAATCTTAAAAGAAATTTCCCTGACTTTATTCGCCAACATATAGGCAATTAATGAGAAAGCGTCCACACTTCCTTCCAGCATAGATTTCCAACATAAGAGTTCCAGAATGCACAAGCAGTTGGTACTGCTAGAAAGTCCTTTTGAAACAGAGTGCGGATATTTTTATTGCTTTTGGAGAAACAACAAACAACAAATTTTCCTATCATAGTTTCTGCAGGCTCAAGAGGAGGTAGCAAATTAGGTATACAAGTATCTTTGAAAAGAATAGTAACTCCAGAAGGGAGGGCATCAAACACTATAGCAAATTGTTGAGAAGTTAGTGGAAATTTATAACGCTGAAGAAATTCTTCATAATTAAATAAGGAAACAGGATTTTTTTCCTATTCTAAAGTTACATAAAAGCAAACACTTATGTCCACCAATTTGTGAGAAAAGATGCTGGGATACACAGTTCCAGATCAAACCTGGGTTTTTTTAAATACTGTAATACTGTAAATATATTTTAAATCAGCTGGCATTTGGGTCGGGGTCTTCCGCGTTTGCATCGCGGTGCATCTGGGAGTCTTTGTTTTTTTGATTTATTTATTTTTCTTTCTCCCACCCCTATTGGCTACTGAGGTTCTTGCCTGCCTGTTGCTGGGGTAGGTGTGGCACAGTCGTGGCGTCCCACTCTCACTAACAACTACATTCTTTAACAGGCTTATGCGCACACACATGTACACCCACACGCACACAGACACACACAGTCTCACACATAGACACAAACAAATTTAGGTTGTCCCTGGTAGAATTATTCCTGATGCTTTTCTTTCATTTACTTATTTAAATTAATTGTTATTATTCCAGCTCTTGTGGCTATGCTGTGTTGCTTATTTAGTGTGCTGGACTGTTTCTACAAATACTTGATCCAGTTAATTTTAAAGGTATTGTTTAAGGAATTGAAATCTAGAAAATTAAGGCCACCTTTTTCAATACTATTCGTTGACTTTTTAACATAATGGGTCTTGTTTCTCCACAAGAAGTTACAGAACATCTTGTCAATGACTTTAATCGTCCTTTGATCTACATGTCAACACATAGCGGAGTAAGTAAGCCTAGAGATACCCTCTGGTTTGGATAACCAAGTTCTACCTCTCAGTAATAAATCCCTCATTAACCAATGGTTCAGCTTTTTCTGAGTTCTCTCTATAATATGATCAAAATTCAGAAGTTCTCTGGTTTTTTGATCCTTGGTTACATAAATGCCCAGGTATGTAACACTGTCTTTAATATGGATATTGCAAATAGAGGGTAAGTCAGACCCCCTCACTGCCATAAGTTCACATTTATTAATATTCAGACAAAGTCCGGAGGCCTTGGAAAACTTTTGACACTTCTTGTCACGACAAAGCATTGAAATGCTCGAAATCACCGGCAGATGGCAATAAAGCGGCGGACGAAAATACAACGATACTCTCGCGTGACTTGCAACGTCACGTCATTCCATGATGGCTGAAGATCCTGGCGGAACATTTTTCAATTTCTCTCTCATTTTCTTTTCTTTCTCTCTACCTCCGCTTGCCATAGAGACATGGCAGGACTCACAGGCTCGTTAAGCGTCCACAGATCATTGGTGTCGACATGCCCAAGAAAGGGAACCGAAAACGGCTGAAATTTCGGGCCGGGGACGTTTGTTCGGAATCAGGTAACGTTAACATTTAAGTTAGGTTTACATCAAAGCTAGCCCGCCCACTGTTCGCACTCCACAGTCTTGTGAGTGAAAGTGCAAAGTGAGGATTTGCTACTGCCACCTTTAGTGTTTATTTTCAGGTACTTTCCGGTGCAGATGAATGTGACGCTAAAGGTAACAGAAGGGTTATGTATGGGCTGTGAAAGTTAGTTAAGAAATATGACTTATTAAATGTAAATCTAAAAATATTAAAGTGTCTGTTTTTTCCCTAGTGACCGTTGCTGATTATGCTGATGCCGACCCAGCCGTCGTGAAGTCAGGGAGGGTGAAAAAGGCTGTTGCAAATGCAGTTGAAAAAGAAGGTAACGTTAGCTCATGATGTACTGTCAGGCCATTTCAGACAGTCAGACTTGGCCTTGTCATGAAAGCTGACTCGGGTGCTTAACTTAACACTGTGTGTTTCAGTAAAATTACTCTGCGGCCTGGAAGCATCTCAGGGTGCAGTAGAGGAAGTCGTCTCGTCTGCAGCGAGCGTCAAAGCTGATGCTTTGGACAGCAGCGATGACCTAGGCCCCGAAGAAGATGGAGAATATGAAACTAAAGTGTCCCGCAAGAAGAAAAACAAGAGGAGAAAGGGTATAATTTATACAGCGTAGAGTATGAGTGAGTAGAACATGGAGGACTCGCACAACTCACCAAGGTGTTCACTGTGATGTTTGCATGTTGTCTTCACAGAAAGCAGTGAGAGCAGTGATGGGGGGGAATATCCAGTGGATATTTGGCTAGTGCTGGCCTCCTACATTCGGCCTGAGGATGTGTGCAAATTTGCTCTAATCTGTAAGAATGCCTGGACAGTCACATGCACTGCAGCTTTTTGGACCAGGCTCTACAGAAGGTGAGGTGGTTTTATTGATCAACTGGTGAAAATAAAAACCGAGAAGTAGAGTGCTGTTTAAAATGTGTAAAAATAATGAAATAAATAAAAAAAGTTGTTATAATGGAAAACATGTAAACCTCATCATTTCTTGCTAAATTGACTACCATATGCATTGTTAGTTTTGTGTATGACAAATGTCTTGAGTGGTCCAATACATTTTGTATAATTTAACAGGTTTTCTTTCTCTCCCATCTACTGTCTCTCCAACACAGACACTACAGGAATGATGCTGACCTGCCATTTCGTCTCCAGCCCGACTCTATCCACAGAATGCGCTGTTTACGGGCACGTGTGATTCGTTCCCTTTTCCACTTGTATGAGCCATTCGACTTGCGAGTCTCGAAAATTCCTGCCCTGCCAGAATCCACGCCCACAACCTTGCTGAACTCCAAGGTAAATTAAGTGATTTGTCATCAGTCACCTAACTGCCAGTGTATGGATGTGGAGAAAGTTTTGTTTTTATCTTGTTTCTGATCTGTATTGCAAGTGACTGACTTGTAATTAGGAGGCTAAACGGGAAAGCTCAGGGCTAAACCTGTGTTGATAACCAGCTTTGTGATATCCAGGCTATCCAAGACCAGGTTTAGTTGGGCTAAGAGAGCCAGATTAAGTCGATCTCGCGTCATGATAGAGGCCCCTGGTGGTGTCTGTTGGACTGAAAACTTGGGGACTTGACCCTTGACACGTAATTCTGGGTTATGTATATGAAGTATGTCTAATTTTTGCATTTGTATTTTTAAATAAGAAAGAAACCAGGTAGAAACATATCAATGCAGGTCCGTAAAAACAAGTTTTCACTGTGGAAATGTCGACTTTATATGCTTATGTTTCCTGTTACAGTGTTTACTATTCTGGGTCAGAAAGGTGTCAGGTACTCGGCCAGAGGCGCTGTGGGAGTTCAACTTCAAGTTTAAAAAGCAGGTAAAAAGAGTTGTATAAAAACCAGCTTCACTTCTTTCCTAAACTGATAATCTTTGACATACTTGGTAAAAGCCTGTTGTTGTTGCAGCTGTCATGTATATTTTTGTGTATTTCTGTGATCATCTTCATCCCAGCAGGGACACAGTAAGAATGGTTGTGCCAAGTCCTTGCGCATGCCGAGACAATACGAAGATGTCCACACAAACCCAGACTCTGACTGCTACGTGCTTCAGGTCACCACACTCAACTTCATTTTCACCCCTGTGGTCATGGGCATGACGCTGGCCTTGGTTAGTAACCTTTTTTTGGTTGATATTGGCAACTACTTCATATGGTAGAGAGCACAGACCGTTCTTTTTTTTTTTTTTTTAAGTATTTGCATGTGTTACCCACCCTGTAGTTGACCTGTGTTGGTAGTAATAACACATTTTTAACAGTCAGGGGGGATTAAAGGTCCCATATTATACTCATTTTCAGGTTCCTACTTTTATTTTGGGTGTCTACTAGGAAATGTTTACATGCTTTAATGTTCAAAAAACACATTTTTTAAATTTTATTATTTTATCTAAAAAATATTTTCTGATTTTTCCCTCTGATGTCCTCTGACTCAGCTTTCGGCTCCTAACTGACAGATGGCTTTACTTGTTGCTAGTCGTCCTGTTAGCTGATTCTGCATGGACTGGAAGCTTGGTGCTTCAGGGGTGTGTTGGTGTTTATACCTGTAACGTTATTACAGGAACTTTGGACCGCTGGGAGCACCCAGTGCGGGCAGAGTCAGCTGATAACGGCAGCTACAGTTAGCAGTAGCTATTGGCTAAAGTAAATGCTAACAAGAAGTAAAGCTATCCGTCTATCAGATTCACTCTGTAACTCACAGAGAGTTGAGGCAGAGCGTGGAAACCTTTCCTTCATAACTGTTAAAGCCCTTTTTGTGAGACACACTGAACCACCTCCAGGTCTAGCTCAATGATGGAATGGCCGCTTGGTGTACTCGGTATGTGTTCAGTGGGCGGGCCGTGTACTGCGCTGAAAGACTGGAGAAGGTCCTCCATGATGTCAAGAAGGGAGCCAAAACTCAAATGGCATGCTTGCACACACATTGACTCAAAGACTGAGCTGGAGAAAAAGAGAAAGGATGTTTGTTTTTATTCCTCATAGTTTGGGGGTCTGTAGATGTAAATGTGTGGATTTTGCACAATATGGGACATAAATTGACAATTAGCGTTAAAATGTGAATGATACAATCTCAAACTCTGCTGCTACTCCCTGGGAACACCACAGCTTAGTGATGCTAAAGATTAGGTAGAAAACTGTAAATGGGACAAACCATTTTCATTAGGAGCAGCGACTTTATTCTCAGAAAATCGGCTACATGGTCAGCTGGTGGTGTTGAATCGGCTGTGTCAAGGTAGTGCCGAGATCAGGGGCGACCAGAATTGAACCCTGCCCACTATCAGTGGCTGTAAGAAGGTTTAGCGACTCTGAGCAAAGCTGTGTGCCATATTTTGATCAAACACCAGATTGGGACTCAAGGAGCTCTTATCTGTTAGCTGTCCAGAAATAGCTTTGTCTAAGACTTTAGAAATGAAACAAAACTTTGAAATGTTATGGAACAAGGCCAGAGATCAGTGAAGGGTTGACTTGCAAGAATGCAGGAGTTGTTCTAAAATCTTTAGGAAGTCTTTGTTGGGTTAGGGTTGTTTTTCTTTTTTGCCAGTATAGTCTGTGGTTGACACCCAGTGAGCAGGTGGTGTGTTTATATGAGCAACAACAGTCTGTATGACTTTTGTAGGCCTTTATTGTAGCCACATAGCAACACACAATAAATGAACAAGGTCAGTCTTAAGTGAATCATGTCAAAAAACATCCACAATCTCCTCTACTGGCAACATGTTTGTTGAAGATATGATAAATAAAGTAATTTTAGTTACTTTTATTTATTTATGAACTGGTGCACCATGTGTCTCTAACCCCTCTCCTAATCTGAACTGGTCTGTCTTTGTCTTTCTCATAGTTCACAATCAGTGTTAGCACAGACATGCGCCACCACCGCGTTCGTCTGTTGTTTCAGGACTCGCCGCTCCATCGGGGGAAGAAGAGGGGCGATCATGGTGGGACCCAGGTTGTATTGGATCCCGTACACAGTGTGAGGCTCATGGACTGGTGGCATCCTCAATACCCCTCCTCACCCTACACATAGGAGTCCTGACCTCTCAGTTCCTACTATAGCAAAGCGTCACCTTAAGAACCCTGCTCTTATCTCATCCCACTCAACATACACAAATATGAAATTGCAGAACCCAGGCTTATATTCAAAGACAAAGTTTTTGTACATTCACATTTCGATCGACATTGTTAGATGTTAAATAAAGCTAACATAGTCTGGCCTCCCACCTTCCAGTGTCAAATATTTAAACATAGATCCTCCTGCATTGGCAGTGGACATAAATCATGCACTATGACAAGTAGGGCTTGGTAATATGGAAAAGGGGGGGGAAGACTCATGCTAACCAGAAAAGCAGCAGTAATTGTTTTGGTATGTTTATATATGAAAAACTACATCATATTGTTTAGTAGTTTCTCACTTTGGTCAGCAAAGAAATGGAAAGTCAAACTATTTCAGATGGCATTCTCAAGAATTTCAGAAGTAGTGTAACTATACAGTTTAGTTTTGCATTGTTTTGCACAAAAGTGCATTATATTTCCCAATATAGAAACTCCTGTGATATGATCACAGTGATAGTTGATAGATGATAAATGGTGATATATTGCTCAGCCCTGCAGACGTGGGACAGAGGAACCTGTACATTTGCCAGTTGCATAAAGAGACTCGCAGGTCTGCCATTATTTTTACATAGACAACATTGTTGCATGTTGAACCTACATGTGTGACACATTTCCTAGAATTTTTTTTTTAAAACTTGTGGATTAACAGGTTTGAACAGTTGTACCATCCTCCTGTGGTTTGTTTTTATGCTTACTTGAAAAGTTACTCTTGTGTTTTTTTGAATTTTGACAATGTTGCAGAACAGATTATGATTCTTTTAAAACCATGTTTTTTTTCATGATGTATTTAATTCAAGGCACCCTCATTTAGTATTCATGTGGATATTAATGACACTGCTCTATACTAAAGGGGCCAAAGTGATGATTTACCTCAGACATCATCTGCTGATTTGGGCAGTGTTTCTTTGCTTTCTTGTGTTTCTTGGCTAAAAACATCTTGATCGTCTCCTTGCTGATTTATGTGAGCCATGTCACCTACTGCCTCCTGTGGAATCTCAGTCTCAACTCTTAAGTGGCTCAAAATGTTTGAAGTGGTTTGTATTATGAGTGTTGAATGTGAGTAGAACCATACCAATCACATGCTTGATTGTGATGGGGATAGAGCTACCATAGACATAGATAACGTCAATCCATCATACACAGTCAACATAATTTAACCTCGATTGATTTGCACTTATACGTATATTGTGAATGGAAAAATCATTCGTTTAGCCACTTACATTTTACATAAAAAGACACCTCTTGGCAGAAGACAGCTGGATGTTTTGGTTAGCAGATTGTTTTAGTGTTTTATCAGATTGAGCGGCACATTGATAAATAATCTTACTTCACTGAAATAAAAAACTAAAACTGCCCATTCAAAATGCCTCCAGTTTTTTTTTTTCTCCTGAAATGTTGATGTACATTAAATTCCTTTTGAATTTGCTTCCCTCTTGTGGTCATACTGAGAACTACCCGTGTTGAACAATCTGTAGTCCCTCCTCCTCATGGCTTAAGTTAGTTTTCTAGTTGTCTTTGCCTCAACAGTCACTGGATAATACAAGGGCCTCCTTCACATCTCTTTGTATGTATGGATCATGTCTTTCATGCAGTATGAGGAACACCTGTGCAATATAGCTAATACATAAAATCACAAAACTGGACTCTAAAACACCAGGCCACCACTAAACAGTGTAAACTAAACTGTTTAACAATGTAAGTGAACTAACAAACTAACTAAAAAAGTAAACTTGTTGCAGGAATCTTTATTGGATTACACTGTATTGCAGAGGGTTGAATAAATAGGTTGGCCAATCCCTACATCCTAACTGACTCATAACAATGAAACTTAATGGGACATAAGTATAGACTTGAAGACACATGTAGAATAAACCGAGAGAAGAAAAAACGATAAAGTTCTTTCCCTTCGGTTGTGTTGGTCTTGGAAGTATTTCGGCTAAAGTTAGAGGACCTCTTAAAACTCACTTTGGAGTCAACAGGCGTCACGTCATAGCCCGAAAATACCGCAGCGACTTTCGAGGATACGAGAAAACTACATTTCCCACAACACACTGTGCGCTGTGCCAATGGTGGTGGCACAGGTGACCGCAGACGCTCTGAGTTGTGACAACATCTCGACGGTCAAAACGAAAACACATTTGACTCCGAAGTGGCAGGTTGTTCACGCTGTAGCAGGGTTTGGAAATACACTGAAACATAAAACTCTTAAGAGTTTCTCTCCTTTTAAACGCGACCTTTTCTCTTGATAGTGCCTGGCAGGTTTGGTAATATCAGAGCGCACGAGAGAAGTGGGCACGCACTTTTCCTGAACCTGACTACTTCGTTCTGTCTGACCTTCAGATCGGGTAAGTGATATTTCACCACCGCCACTGAAATTTAGCTTCTCTTACCACTCTTACTACCTCTGGAAAGCCCGCGAGTGTAAGTTTTAACTGCGTATCTCGCTTTACATGCGAAGACTTGTGATTTATTGTTCGAAATGAAAAGTAGACAACTTATACTTTGTCCGTAGGAAACATTAAGGGTAACACGGTCTTGCACTTCTCAATTAAATGTAGAAAAATCGTAGCAGAAATAGTTAACTCTTTCTGCATTGTACAGGAGACATGAAGCTGCAGGCTTGCAGCCATACTTTATCCTTGAACTTGACATACAGACCCCAAGCAACTCAAATTACAGTGCATTATGTTGTTAGGAGTTTGTATCCAGCTCATGATAATGTTATTATGAATCTGAATAGAATAATTGTAGAAAGACTGAGACATTCATGAGCACATACTAAACTCTAAAGAACAAAGTAGACATCCAAAATATTTTCACACGCTTATATTTGCTCTTTTCAAGTGTATTTTCTCAGATGTTGAATGGATTGTACTTTGATTGTTTTACAAAAATAAGTGGCAATTAGTAGCCTACACAGTAGTATGAAATAAAATTGCACTGAACTTCTGCTGTAGGCCTTTCTGAGGACACTGGTACCACTTTGGGAGCCACTGTATACCAAAAATGCACCACTTTCCCACTTTTACTGTCACCAGTGAGTCTCTGCTGAGAGCAGCCCCTCTTGCCATTTATAAGCAGTAGCCAGGCCGGTATCAGTAACAACACCTCAGCCCCGAGGTATGCTGCTATGTATAAGCTGTGACTGTAAACTATACAGACTGTAATACTGTGCTGCCAATTCAAGTGCTTTGCCTGAAAGTCCTGCATGGTGCAAACACAAAAATAATGAAGGCACCGTTGACTATTTATGCCCCCTTTGTCCCATCTGCAGTGCGGGCTTTAATTGCATACCCTGTGTTTATTATTTGTGTGTGTTTGTGTTCATTGGAGGGTACAATTTGTTATGCCTGATTTTATTCAGTAATGCAATGTCAGTGTTTTATTCATTAACATATACCTGGATTTAGCTGTGCCTTTTATAACGAACTACATGTTTTTATCTTTTTTCCACTATAGAATATAGTCACTATTGGTCACTATTGGAGCAAAGGTTGTTGCATAAAAGTGTGATCTTTGATTAGTAATCCTCCTAGAAATTTTTTGCCATACCAAATTATTAACCATGATCAGTGTAGATTTGAAGATTTACAGCTTTTTGAGAGTGAAGATGAGACTGAAGTTTTGTGGACTGACGAGACTGTCATCCTAACTCCTACCCCCTGCCACAGCTAGTCTGTCCAAAGTCTGTAGGTCCACCTGCATATGTGTGCCACCATACATCACACCAACCAAGTATTTAACATTAAATCCCTACCCCTGACCTCTCCGCCTTGCCTCTGTGATCATCCATACCATTCTCCAGAGAACAAAGTAAGCTTCAAAGGTCAGAGCAAAAAGGTGTCAATAGGTCTGATGGCTTGTAACTGATGAGTATTTTTCAAGCTTCTGCTTACAATCTTGACTTGTCTAATTTCGTTCTTAGTGCATGTATAAGAAATTTCCCTTTAGACATTGCCATTAGCACTAATGCAGCGGTGACCATGTTGTGTTATGAAACAGTTTGACAGCTCATAAAGTGAGTGACCAGAAATAGAAAATCTAGTGCTCAGCTATCCTAATAAACTAAGTATATGATTATTTATGACCAATTGTAGACGATGGATTTCATGGAACTGTAGCCACGGGAAACCACAGGAAAACCATAAATAGAGAGATTTAAACAATCACTAATTAATATTCTTTTAAATGACTGGAGGTAGGTAGAAATGTGTTTTTAAGGCACTTCCATTAAAATGAGATTTGCAAGGAAGTTGCACAGGATCATTGAGGTCAGTCAACCACACTGGCAATTTGTATTTTCTTGGCGACACGTGTATTTTCAGAAATGTGATACTGAAGGGAGAACTTCCACCACACAGAAGGTGGGCATTCACACGCATGGACGGAGGTTCAGTTGCAGCTGATGTGTGTTTAGGGCATGCTACGGGAGCATTTTCCATCCATCCATCGCCAACCACTTATCCTGTGTAGGGTTGCGGGCATTTTTACACATTTAAACACTGATGCAGGATTGTAAACCACTCTCCCGCTGTATCTGTTGGCGTGTCTCTGTCTCTCTTTTTCATAGTCTTCTTCTGCCTCCTCATTTGTGTGAGTCTGTTAATTAATGAATTTCCGTTGTGGAACCAGAGAAAAAAGATTTACAATCTACTGTGCAGCAACACTGGCATGCAGTTTAGCTCTAGCTGTCACGCTGATGCAGTGCTGCCACATATCAATAAAACAATTAAATTGAATTATTGTCTTGTAATTTTATCATGTGCCTCTTAGCCTGTTTATATAATGTTCCGACAGATGTCTCTGAACTGAATTCCTGTCAAAGCGATCTACTGCCTGCCACATACACACAGTATCAGAGAATATTAAGACAAAAGTTGGATGCAATAGCCAGTTGTGTAAGAGGAAAATACTGTATATGCACGGTGTCTGTGTAACTGTTTATCCCTTTACACTCCCTCTCTCTCATAGCCAACACTACGTTGTGTACAGTGCAGAAGCACGGTTGAGAATGGGACAGAGTCAGTGGGGTTATGGAGTCCACACAGTACGAAGGGTCAGGGGTTAGTTAACATACTGAGCTATGAGGTTACTGTCAGCAAGGTCAGAGGTGACTGGCCAGTATGTAGAGCAGCGGTGACGCCTCTCTCCTATAGCACAGCAGTAGCAACCCGCTCAGATGGCCAGCAAAGGAAAACACGCCTTTAAAGCACTAAAACCTCACAGGAGAGGTGACCCTTTTCACTAACTTGACTAACCAGACTACTGGCTGGCAATGGAGCATTTCTCTTTCCATGGCTTTTGTTTTTAAGTGTATATCTGTGTTTTAATGTGTGACACATGATCTGATCACCTTGTCACAAAAGTGCACAAATTAGCACGAGCATGTGCTGTGTGTGGAAAATTAAGTGTGTGGGTGGGTCATATTTTCAGCCTCATTGGACTCAGGTCCGCTTGTAATCGTTATGGATGGGGTTAATTGTCTTCAGGTAAACAGAGGCAGCAGCACAAACACACACACACACACACACACATGCGCACGCTAACCAGGCTCAATGGACGTACTCTAGTGTGAGAGCATCAGGTGTGTGTACACACAGCTTCATCCGTTTGCCATATGGACAGATGTCCCATGACTTAGACAGTTTTCTTTCAGCTTCAAGACTAGACCAGGAAAAGGTGTTTTTATGGTGTACTTCTGGACTTCCCTTTAAAAATAAAGCGAAACAAAAAGAAAAAAAAATGTATTACAGTATAAGTTTGTCACTAAAAGTTGGACTTTTTAAACCACATGAATGACAGCTTGGCATGTGCTATGTGACAACATGACCCATGATCTATCAGAGGTGAGTGTGGGTGGGACGTTTTAAGGGCATGTGCTGAATGTGTGACTCCACTTCCTCATCTTATCTCCATTCCACTGTTTCATATCCTCTTTTGACTGACAGACAGTAGTGATGGTCTTATACGCAGTCTCTCTCTACTCTCTGTAAGAATGGCATCTCAGCTGCATCTGTGAGCACACACTGCAGCTGCCCTGTTCTGTACATTTGGACTGTTTGCTTGTTAGTATGAACTGCAGGGGTCGACTGTAGTTTGCAGCACACTGCGACTTTAGCTCTCTGAGGCCCACAACAGATTTCAAAATGTTCAACACAGCACTTAAGCTTTTAAGATGGATGTTCTACCTGCTTAGATTTAACCAATGCGCACAATGTGTCTATTTTAACGCAGCAGTGCTGTTGAAAATCTGTTGAAACTTTTTTCTTTTTCTTAAGTACTATGAACTCTGCTGCCTGTGTTCTAAATGTATGGCCCTCTAGGGTCCTTAGACAGGTTTTCACCATGTCATTTGTAGTGTTCT